CTTAGCTGCTCCTGTGTGACCAGACATGTTAAGTGGCTGCTGGATTTCACTGACAGGTTTTCCATCCCTACTAAGGTAATCGTATGATTTTTCTCCATTATGAGATTTTTCATTTTAACCAACTGTGGATCCCTGGGGGTGGCCCGTGCTGGATTTGGCTTGCTCAGTTTTCTAGGACTTTTTATCCATGTTTCTGAATAAGAATGCCTTGTCGTCACGTGGTACACAGACAGATACACAGATCTGTCCATTACGCCTCAGCGAAGCTGGGGAAAATGACCTGTGAGTGCCGTTGCTCACAGCAGAAGTGTCAGTTTTTGGATCAAGGCCATGCTGGCATCGTATGTTTCCACCCGCTGGACTAATCTGTGGGAGATTGCCAGCATTCGTGACTGTGGGAAAGAAACTTCCTGCAGTGCATTAGCTGCAGACCCTCGTCTTCCGTTTAGCCCTGTGGGGTGGGGAGTCTTTGCTCACGTGCACCCCCACTGCTGAGCTTGTAAGGAGATACATTCCGGGGGTGGCAATGGGAAGGGCTGCGAGATGACCGTCTCAGGGATCAGTGAGGAAGGGTGGGTGATGAAACAGTCTGCAGGGGGGGGGTCCCCCTAGACGGCTGTGTGGTGGGGAGAGAGGACCAGCGTGGAAAAGGTTATCTGTGTCCTCCTATCATCCGGGCAACTACTGCTGCAGAAATAGACCATGAGGAAGCTGCGTTCTCCATCTGTAATTTTTATAAATGATACTTGGACAAATTGCTGGTGATCATGGCAATGAACCCCCCTGGAATTATCGTGCCAAGAGCATACAGTTTGGTGGTTAGGCAGATTCACTTCTGACACGTATTTTCGTGACGATTGTAGTTCCAACATTTTTACCAAAAGCGAGCACTTCCTTGGAGGTGGGGAAGTCGGAACCTGCAGCCCAGCAGTCTGAAGGAGTCCTGAGGGAAAGGCATCGTTCGAAATGATCCTGTGAAGTAGATTTTTTTCTCTACTCCTTGCTATATAGATGAGCAAACTTCACCTTTCCAAGAATTGAACTTGTATAAGGTTGCGCTGATGTAGGACTTCAGAGCCAGGCTCTAAGGTCACCGACCTGGGGCGTGTGATGATGAATTTTCTAAAGAGGAGGAGCCAAAAACAGCTTCTTAATACCATGGGCAACCGACATGCTATAGGAGCGAGTCTTCTAGCAGTTTTTAAAGCACCCATATCACTTCCTTTTCTTTCTTTCTTTTTTTTTTTCTGTCCTAGAAGGAATTCTAGGGCAGCATGAAAACCCTGAGTCAAAAACCCGGGTAAGGAACCGAGGTCTCGCTCTGGCTGGGTGGCATCACCTGGCCACTGCTCTGAGGTGCAGAGAACCTTCTCTGGGTGGCTGCCTTGTGATTTTGCTTCTCTCCCTAGGACAAAGAGCTCCGATTTTTCATCGTTTCAGAGGCTCAGCTGTGCTCACGTGTATCTGGTCAGATGATGTCACCATCCAGATTCCCACAGCAGGTCACTTTGGAGGTGTCACAGCTTAAGTGTGAGATCGTGGAGCCTGCTGACCTCCAAAAATCGTGTGCTGCTCTGGATGCAAATGAGCGTTCATTCTGCACCTCCACTGGGGGTGCACCCCACCCAGCAGGGCTCCGGCTGCTGCCTTCAGGCCTTCTCTCCCCAGCCCCATCCCCTCCTCCAGGACACCTGACCAGCAAGCAGCCTTGTTCCCCCTGCGCCCACCCACAGTCCATTGCCAAAGCCCAGCACTTCAGTCCCCCTCCTCCCAGGACCCCAGCATCAGAGACTTGATTGTTCAACGGCCCGGCCCCTTCCTTAAGCATCTTTAGTGTTTCTGTTGTACTTCTGTTAAAATCCAAATACTCTCAGCGGAAACCCTTTAGGATCTGACAAGTGTCCCTCTCTTTCCTCATCTTCTGCCCGTCCCTGACTCACAACGGTCCCCTAGTCACACACTAGGTAGCAGCCATCACGGACCACCTGCAGTTCTGCAGGAACCCCAGAGAAAGCTGCTAGGACTGCCACCTGCCAGTTGCTTTACATGTGACGTAAAGCACCTTTTCCTCGGCTGCTTTTTCATTCCTCCCCTTAACCACGAGTCCTTGAGGGTGAGCTCCCGGACAGACCGCAGGGCAGGGGCTGTGGAGTGGAGGGTGGATGAGTGAGCGGAAGGAAGCAAACCCTCCCTGTCACGACCTCCTGTGTCTCCATCGTTCTGCTTCAGGTGGCCGGTTTCCTTCATCTTCCTCCCATCTGCTCACCATTCCTGCATGTCTCAGACTCGGGAATCCATCGCAGGTACCGCCCTGCCCTGGTCACAAACTTGCCCTGTCTTCTCGTTCCCTGCGGACTCCATGCCCTGCTCAGGCTCGCCCCCACTTCCAGGGGTCCTCCAGCCCCCTACCCCCGTGTCCCCGGGCCTCTCTGCCCACCTCCCGTCTCCTAACCTACCTTTCCTCACGCTCTGCCCCCCGCCTCGGCATACCGAGTCTGTGGTTTCCTTCACACCGGCCCCTCATCCAGATGTCACCTCGCCACCCCTGCCAAGTCCCCGCCTACTGAATTCACAGCCACAGCCTCCCCTACCCCAGCCAGAATGCATCTTCCTCTGAAGCCTGGAGACCACTTCATTTTCCCCTCCATTAGGATACAAATCCTATTCTGCGTTGCACAGCAGCCTTTGGGTTTGCTTTATCTTTGCACGTCTGTGTTCCCGAGATGGCAGTCTCCCCGAGGTCAGGGCTGAACCCGCTTGACCTTGGCAGGCACTGGCTCTGCACAGTCAGCGTGGAGAGGGGGGCCTGCGTCCACCCCGGCAGGCTCGGACTGAGTCTTGTCCTGCTGCTAAAAGCCATGCGATCTCTTTCAGTCCTTCCTCCTGAGGTCCCAGCTTGTTGGAGGAAGATAATGCTACCAAATTCGCGGCATTATTGTGCAGATGAAATGAAATAATGTATGGCTTCCCAGGCGGTCATTATTCCAGCTGCTGTGCTTGGTACCAATGGGGGCACTCACCATTGGAGAGTTTTGTTTGCCTGAGCGCTCAGTATTAACGGTTTTCACTTAATGGCATGGCTGATTTCTAGCTATACATAACGACGGAGGCCAAAAATTACCCATTAGCCTTGCTGTTAAATATAAATCTGTTCTTCACTCGCTTACAACCTTTGATTACTTATTCTGGTATTACATTTTACTGGGGAATAAAAAAGGCTGCTTGCTTCTTGCTTCCACCAACAGAGGGCCAACTAGCCTCCAGTCTTTCAGAAAAGAATAGTCAGAGCTTAGAGCCTTCTCAGCAGCTTTTTTGGTGCTATTTTCCAGCAAAGAACAGGAGCTGAGTTTCCTCCTTGTGGAGTTACTGGCGCCCGCCGTGTGGTCGGAGAGGCGCCTTGGGCCCGCCAGGTTGCTAAGTCGCCTTCCTTCCCACTTGGGTTAACTTTTACCGAGGGCGTGTGTTCAAAGGCTGGGCCGGGAGGCACCCTCTGAAAGCACGGTTCCTGTCCCAGAGAACTTGCCGACCTCGAAGTCAACTGATGGAAAGCACATCTAATAATATTATGCTTTTTCTATATTGTTAGGAAAGACAGAGGGTTTTTTGTGCTTTTTATCAGAGCTTCCTGAATTGAAATCGTGAGGAGCTTCATGCCTTCTTTGCTGACTAAGATAATGATGAAGCAATCAAAGCAAGAAAATATTCTCAGCTATAACCACAAAGAGGGCAAGAAGTGACCGTGTATACTTAAACATATACATAGGTGTTCACATTTGGCGAGAAGAGGATAAAATTGGCACTAGAAAGTGACTTAAGAGCTAGACCCTGGCAGAGGGGTGGCTGGTTTCCAGGGACCAGAGTACCCGGGAAGATAGGAAATCAGTTCAATTTCATCCACTGATGATGATGGTGGTGCTAGTGAAGGGGGTGGAGGCGATCGTGGTGGCAATGTTGGCGGGGATGGTGGTGGTGATGGTGGAGGTCATTGTCAGGCACTGTGCAAATCAACTAATGTTCGGTATATGCAATTTTATAAAAATTCCTATGTGAGAGAATGTGATCTTTGTATATGTGCACTGTGAAGAAACCAGGGCTTCCACAGGGAGTCTTACCCAGTGTCACAGAGCTTGGAACAGCCAGAAGCAGGACTTGAACTTGGGCTAGTCTGACGTACAGTCTGTCTAAAGCCCAATGCCTGCTGATGAGGCTGCCTGCCTTTATTCTGTCCTGGAAAAGTGCTTAATAAATATATGCTGAAATGAAGTATAAATTCATACTTACATACGAATAAATATAAGTGAATATAAAGTATGTATAAGTATATAAGCATGCATATAAATATAGATATGCCAAATAGAAAACAGCACTTGGATGGATCACGCAGGTTGGTGGGCAAGGTGAGAGGAGGTGGAAGTGTCCCTCTCGGCCTGTGGGGGGGTGTGGGAAAGCTGTCGGCATCCTGAGATAGAAACCCGGCTCCGTCACCTGCTATCTGAGTGAAATTTGGCAGACGGGTCCCTTTGGCCTTGCAGTTGGATGCGGGCGTCTTTGCAGAAGTCATAACACGCCAGTTTGTGGAGCGTTCTGCAGAGAACACTGAAAACTGGGGCCCAGGAATGGGAAGCAGAAGGGAATGAAACCACGCCCTTCAGCATCAACGTTACCACCACACACAGTAGGGCTAATCAGAGTGTTAGTGCAGAAGAACTTGAAGATGGCTTTTCGTTCAGTTTCCTTTGCTTTATAACGAGTGAAGCTGAAGCCCAAGTCGGTGGCAGTTAGCCAGGACCAGGCGCTCTCTGGAGGTGCTCCATTCAACACCTCCGACCGAATCCAGTGTCCTTCCGACTTTAACCAGTTTGTGCGCAGTCAATTCCGGCCACTCTTCAGAAAATATATCTTCGTAAGCTGTTTTGACATAATGCTCGGCTTAGATTCGGTGACTTGGCTTAGGGGCCAGAATCTGTCGATCAACTTCTCCCTCTCTGTGTCTGATTCAGCTCACAGAAGAGATCGGGAAACTGGAGGACAAGGTGGAGTGCGCCAATAATGCGCTGAAGGCAGACTGGGAAAGGTGGAGACAGAGCATGCGGAATGACATCAGGTCGGCGTTCGAGGACATGGCCGAGCGGAACGTCCAGTATTACGAACAGGTGACTCGTGGTCTGGGTCGCGCCTCATTTGTCTGCGGAGTTGTCTCCTCCTGCACTTTCTCTCTGTCCTGTGTTGGAAGAGTACTAAGGAAACAAGGGTCACATTCACGAGCCACTTGGCGGCTCGGTGCCAATGGTCTTGCCGGGTAATACAGTGATGCTGAGCCCACCCACTGAAACGAGGGTGCGGATGACTCATTTTCTTCCACACAAGCCCCCAGGGCCTCGGCCACTGAGCTCCACGTGGGAGAGAATATACCACCAGGTGGCTGGTGGTTTGCCCCTCAGTTTCTTGTTCTGGAAGGATTTGCAATCCTCGCAAGGGCTCGGTAAGGCTTCCTGATGATTCTCCTGCCTTCCTTCTCTTGTCTCTCCCTTTCCTGTACCGTGAAGGGTCAGCAAAGTGAGGAAAGAAGCAGTGGTTACAATGAGAAGTCCGTCCACGTCCCACCCCTCGTGATCCTGCCTGCCCGACCTTCTGTGGCTGATCAAAACGTCAGGGAAGGGGCGAGCCATCCTTTTTCTTTTAGTTTAGGTCCTTTTAGTTCAGTTGCTTACTTGTTTTCATCCAAGAAAGAACTTAGTCATTGTTTTGCTTTTTTCAAATGATTATTATTATTTGAACAACTAACAGTTCCCCAAAGCAGTTATTATTTTAAATGAATTTTATTCTGTCACTTTCTTCATCCAGCATGTTCTAAACATGTTCTAGAAGGTATGTGTTCAACATGTATCTTTAACCTTGTCTCTGGCTGAATTAACAAATACAGGAAACTGATACATTAGGAAAACTGTTTCACGCTTTATAGTCTATGGCGCTTGTCAGTCTGAAGGTACATAAACTAAAAGATTGTACTTCTTCACGGAGTAGCTAGTAGACAACCAACTGAAATCATTCCTAAGTAAATGCCTGGAAGATTAGAGTATGTAATATCTCATAATTGATTGTGATGATAAAACAGAAGTGATTTAGGGCATAAAAATCACATGACAAATGCACCTACTATATTTTCCTTTAAATGATAAGAACTGTACAATTGTTCTAAGTTAGGACTTTTTTTCTTTTTTTAAGAAAAAATGCCCACAGCCATTCTGTAGAACTCCCACGGAAGTATTTGGTTTTGATCATACCTCTCACGTAAATACGCACTTCTGTCATTCCCATAGGTTGAATTCCATTTATACAAAATAACTATTTTCTTAGAAGCAATTACATTAACCTCACGTGCCATGTTGCCACGTCGCAAATTGTGTTCTTCACAGCATTTGGTGTCGGTATGCTGTGTTTTTACGCTTTCCCATGAGTGAATTATATTTCTAAATGTTCCTTAATATATGCACACATCAGGCACCCTTCATCTTGGATACGTGACTTTGCAGGAATCATTGGTTTACGTTATTGTAACCTCAGGAGACACCATGGCTCCAGTTACTTGTTTTGTTGTTTTTTGTTGTTGTTCCTGAGTAACTTCTAAGTGCGTGGCACGCTGGTCCACGCATTATCGGGGGATTGGAGCCCCAAAGCCAAGGCTCCCTGATGAGCCCCCAGACTGTGCTCTGTTCACGGTCCAGTCGCGAGGCGCTGTGATGGTTAACATCAGCGTACCCCAGTTACACAGGCAGCGAGGTGTTCCGCCATCCCCTTTGTAAATGTGATCACATTCTTATGGAAATATTGCTTGTTTTCATCAACATTTGCACAGATAAACCCCCAAGGGGGCTGTTTGTAATGTGATGGATGAAATACAGTATAACCATTTGCCTTTGGACTCACTTTTATGAAGTCAAATGGTCACAGCTGGTTTATAACTTTAAATTTAAACATCAAAATGATAGAGGAAAATCAGATTATAAATCCAAGGCGGAGGTCCATCCCAGAAGGCAGTTATTATCATATGGAAATGTGCTTCGATGTGTGGATTTAATTCGAGACAGTTGACAGCAAATATAAAATAGAAATTTTACAAAATGAAGTTATTCCCATCTTGTATGACCAGTAATTAAGAATAATCTTATTGGGTATTTTTATGAAAACGAGAAGAGCAAAACAATAAAACTCCAAATCCAATTGAACATGACTGAATCATTTCAAAGTCTGTTAGTCCCCAAATAACCAAAGCCAGGGATTTCCTGCTAGAACAGGAAGGAACAGTAAAACCACAAAACGTGATGTGTCCGGTCAAGTGCAGGGACCTGTCTAGCTGTGCCCCAGCCTGGACAGAAGAGCACCTGCTCTTGTTATTGATGCTGGTGATGATGATGGTGGTGGTGGACAGATGTGAGAGGACGTGTAGATTACAGATGGAGGAGATCTACTCTTTGAGCGTTTAATGTTACTATCAGGATCCTGAAAAGAACACATAAGGTGAGCTTTTGCCAACTACCACAGTGTGTTGCTCGGTGAACATACTGCTTAAAGCGACGGAACTTACTCCTGTGCACAGTTTATTGTAGACTCGTCAGCGGATGGAGGTCCTTTTCTCATAGGCTGCTTTGTCTCATTATGACACCGTGCAGGCATGCTGAGAACAAGCAGGAATGGCAGGGACAGAGCTGAGGACAGTTGAAGGAATGTACCGTGTGCCCACAGCCTTTCCTCCTAGAGGTGCGTTCAAGTGCAGTTACAGGAAGGAAAGTGATTCACTGTGGCCAAAATATCACTAGAAGTCTGCGTGGCCCTTTCCGACTGTGCCAATATAAACAGGCGCCGTTGCATCACCAGGTCAGAGGCCGCTCCATTCAGATGCTCCTGGTCTCCTTCATGATGTCAGATGCCTCTTGTAAAACTATTCGCTTAAGTTTCCATGGGTGTCCAAACCCTGCGCTGAGCACCGCGGAGCATCCAAACTCAAACTGAAATCTTGTCATTAGAGAAGTTACAGTTTATTAGGGAAGAAGGAGGATGTTATTTTGCACTTGATCAAGACAGCTATCCAGCCGATTAAGGTTTTAATGGAGAATTACCTGAACCAAAATGCACAGTCTTAATAGAAAGGCAGCATCACTGTGGAACAATAAAAATATCCATATCTGCAGGGAATTCTGGGAAGCACGGACACAATTATAGTGGGCGCTACTTTCTGGAAAGTAAATGAACAAAGAAGTTGCGCTCGAGGCTGCACCATGTAGCCAAATGAATAATCCAGCTCATTTTCCTAAACTCCAAGTCAAGCGACCATATTTTTGGACCATAAGATGCACCTAGGTTTTAGAGAAAAATAGGAAAAAAATTTTTGAAGCAAAAAATGTGGTAAAGTGTTTAATAAGATAAATAACATAACATTTCACCAACGTAGATGTAAAGCTGCTTTCGGATATAAGACGCAGCCTGCTTTTCCTCCCAAATTTGGGGGGAAAGTACATCTTACAGTCCTAAAAATATGGTACTTATGGACCATGTCAAGTTAGAGAAATTACTTTAAAAGCTAGTAATTGTAGCAGCCCTTCTAGACGTAACTGACTTTCCCGGACATCCTTCAAGGATAGTTTTGTTCCCTTAGAAATGTATTCCTTGTTCTGTTGGGGAATGGAGAGATTCCAGTGAAAGAATTACTAGTTTTAAGTTCACTGGTGCACTAACCCCCTTGGGACCATTTTGTAAGTTCTGTGACTGTTTCCAACACCTTGGTCCAAGTAAAGATAACCCCCTGCAGTGACTTTGAGGGATGCATCTCTGCAGACAGTGATTATTATAGAGCTGCTGGCAGACGAGACTCCTGTGGCTGGAGTTCAGATCACTCTCGGAAACTTCATTCGTTCTTAAACACACTGGGAACAGATAGATGGTGGCCTTTGTGCTACTCCGTGTGAATTAAAAAGAGAAGGTGGGGAATCAGCGTTCCTAGGTTTAGTACCACCCGGCCCAGAGGAACTGTTCTGGGGGGAAGTGCCCTTTCCAAGTGGGAGGTACAAGCAAAGGAAGGAACCCCTGTCTATTCCCGGTCATATTTTCTGTATGTTGTAAAACAGTTTTAAAAAAAATGGCAGAAAAGGTCATGGTGATTTTCAGAGTCACAGACTCTCAGAGGGACTATGATGGAGAGGAGTGGCCATTTCTAAAAGCAGGAGGGAAGCTGACAACAAGCAGATGTGACCCCTGCTGTAGTGACAGGCAGTAGTGACAAGATGGGCTCTGGGAAGGCGGAGAAAGAGGGATTCAGGAGCGCTAATAAAATAAGCAAGACGAATTCCTAATGGAAACTGTGCTAAGGAAACAGAAAACAGAACTACTGGACTTCGATTTTATTTCACTCATGTTGTTCCCACCAAGGACAGTGAAAGTGTTTAACTCTCCCACCAAGGAGAGTTAAAAGATTTAGGCAAATATAAATGAAAGGGACCTCATATCCAGAGTATTTTAAGAGATATAAGGTCTTAAAGAAAGAAGATGGGTTTACTGATAAAAAATAAATAAATAAAGTTAGGGGTCAGGATGCCTGCCTCTGGCTTATTAGGAAATCTTCATCAGGTCCTCTCTGTACCCAGTGTCCCCACCCGTCGAAAAGAGGGGTCGACCCCACTCCCATTCCCTGTCCTCCCCTCCACACATGGCCCTCACGACTCTTGGAAAACACATGAGCTGCCTTAAAACAAAGCAGTCCCACATCACAGCTGCGCCTCCGTAATTGCCCAGTAATTCGAAGGTAAATGTGCTCATTTCAGCTTTCTGGGGTCCGGCTGACCAAACGGAGACACGCTCGTTCCAGATTTGCAGCATCTGGTGCTGAAGTGGACCAACTTCATTCATCTAATTGGCTTGTTATTAGTCAAAAACAATGATATGACATAGAAAAAGTCTGGGTGTGAAAGATAGGCACTCAAAATTTGACTGGAGGATTAATTCTTGCTAAAAAAGATTCCGATCGCCTTAGACCTCGTACAGTCGCCGTTTTCCCAGCCGTAAAAACGGGAAATGGAATAAATGAAATCCGAGGCTCCTTCTCTTTTTAGCAGATTTTGAGTTAGAGATCGAGGACCAATCATAAAGAAATGACCACAAG